ATCTCCATTTCTTTGGCTCAGAAATGTGAGATTATTCCTCTACTCTTGCCTGTCCCCACCTTCTCTTCCCCTGCCATACAAATTTGAGCTCAGTTAGCAGCGTATGTCTAGTGATAGTCCAGCTCCCAAGAGGCCTGTGAACGAGATGATTGTAAAACATTTTTCACTCTAGGGCAGACCAAGTAATCGTGATTCTTTAATTCTGGATCTAGCTGTTTTTGTTATTAAACCAGCCTTTTGAGTAGATTCATAAGTTGAACTGGTTCATATTGCAAAGGGCCATTTTTCAGTCAGAGAAATGAGAGGGATTCAGTTTGTTCTTTAAAAAAAAAACAATGCTTTGTATTGTCTGGTATCTTTATAATGATGCATTGTTTTTATATAGTTATTCTCTGAATTTTAAAGGCTATTCTTTCATTTTTTCCTTTTATCTCTTCCTGTGGAATATCTGCTTTATCTGTGTATTCCTTCTGCTTTCTTGGAGTGGATTTGTTTAATGTTGTCACCCTTGATGCTAATTCCCCATTTATTGGTAATCTCCAGATCTCCCGCAGACACGTCAGGGCACTTCCATAGTGGTGCTAGAAGCCGCTACCATCAATGGACCAGAACCAGAAAGAGTTGGATTTGGGAGGAAAAACCATCCTCTTTTCTTAAAAAAAAGCAACAAGAAAACCGTATAAAAACAACAAAAGGGGATTACCAAGGTCATTGTGCTCATAGAGATTTTCTTCAGCCCTACCTTTAGAAGACAGTCATCACCAACATAGACTTAATTTTTACATTGAAATATTAATATGGATATTATTTTTCACATCCAGATATTAATATAGATACAGGTGTTGTTTGAATTTGCTTCACAGTTAGGTAATTTAGTTTTTTAAAAAGAATGAAAGCAGGCTAATTATTAGGCAATAATATGATCAAATTACTAAAAGCTTCTAGGTGGTTCTATTTCAGTTCTCAGCCTGATGTACATTTAAAAATATCTCTACTTAGAGTAGTTATTGTTCATAATGCATTATGGAATCTTTTTAGTTAACAGCTTGGATGATAAAGAAGCCATTATCTTTGATTTGAAGTGTTTAACCCAAGTCGAATTTATGGTACACTGAAAATTAGCTGTAGCGTCGTACCCCTCACTTCCTGTTGTGTGCAACTTGATATATGTGTGAGCCATATGTCCTGCAGGGCTGAAAAGAATACATTAATGATGAATAGAAAAGTTGTTTCATAGTAGCCAGGGAAAATATACAAGATAACATGTGCAATGTACCTATAATTTGCAGCTTTGGTTTACAAGAGATTTAACCTGTGGCTGAAGGAAGTACTATGAATGTATTAGAAATCCTTCAGAAGAAACTTCAGCACTCCCTTATTTCCCAGGCTTCTGTGCAATTGACCGGTTTAGTAGGGAGACCTCCTCAGTGCTTTATTTCCAGAGTAGATGAGAGATTATAAAACTACCTTAGTTTCTGATATACTGTGGGTCAGAGAATCCAGCACATTTCTACTTTGCCTAACTCTCCCACCCCATTCCCATTACCTCATAATTACTTACAGGAAGTACCTTGTTTACCACGTGTCTAGCTTATGTTGCCTTTGAGGCTCTGCCCTTATCCCTAGTCTTATTAAAGGATTCCACAGTATAATGTTGATTAATTAAAAATTTCTTAGGCAGTGGGTTAGCAATGGTTGTATAAAAGAAGAGTGAAATATGTAAGATTTCTCACATAAATGCAGCCCAGCTGATAAATCACTACTGTACAGTAATCTCTGATCAAAGAGGCAGACTTTCTTAGTGGGCCAGTGTCTGCGTCTTTCACCACAAGCACTGGCCACCAGGCACAGGATGGCGTTCGTGTGGGCATCGTTCTGCACAGATAGTTCTAATAAATGATAGCTACATCTCCCATAGAGACTTTTATGCTCAGCTGCACATTTTTTTTAATAACATAAGAAACTTTAAACAGACAAGGCTTTTAACTAGCTTTAAAATGATTCCCTTCAGAAGATATTGAGTCCAATTGTTCTGATCTGAAAGAACTTCTGGAAGAGACAGGTCTGTCACTGTTTTCTGAGTCCTCCTAATATATTAGTCATAAAACAAAGCAGTGTCCTTTATTTCTACCCTTTAGATGCAATGTTTCCCAGCTGTTGCATATCAGAATCTCCTGTGGAGCTATGCTTGTGTTCACTCCTAGAAATTCTAATTTCATTAGGTCTGAGGTGAAGTCACTGCATCTGCTTTTAAAAAGTTTTAGAGATGTTTTCTAATAGATACACTGCCAGTTGAGTACCACTACCAGCTTACATTTGGATTGGTAATGCACGTATTCCATACAACATGGAGGTGCATTCATACAGGTTCTGTGGCTTTACAAAGATGAACCCAGAAGATAGCTAGAGTGAAATCCTAGTCTTAGTGAGAATATTGGACTTAAAAGGAACCGGTGTAAACATTTCCTTTTTACAGATGAAAAAGCTAACCCAGAGAGGTAAAGGAATTTGTCAGAGTTGGTGGTAGAACCAAATATTAGATCCAAGACACTGATTTGAGCTCTTTCTATACTAGCATCTTGGACCTAGCCCCTCTTGCATATATACTTCAAAGCCACATAGTGGTCTAGAAGTTGTTTTGAGCATCCCATAGCCTACCAGGGCATTGTGAGGTCTCAGGGTACTTATAAGGAGCAATACTGCAGCAAGCAGGGGCCCCTCACTTCTTTGAAGTTCCTAGGCAGGAGTTATGAGTGACATTGTAGTTAGACATTTGAGATACCACCCAAAATGCCTTTGTGACTTCTTTGTAAAACATGGCAACTTCTGGCAAGAGATGGCCCAATTTGTACTAAAGATTGTCAAGAACAAGAAGATCATGTGTCTCATTTAAACTGATGTTTAAGTATTGGCAACAAATCTAGGAAATTGTGCCAATATTATATTTCTAAGCAGGCCTGACTTTCAGCTTGTACTTCAAAAGGAGAATATTGTGCCCAGGTTTGCAAGTTAACCAGCTAAAGGAATAATGTGCTTTTTAATTAAGATTAGGTTTGACTGGGGGGTGGGGGGTGGGGCATCCAAATCACAGTAGCTTACTCATGATAGAGATTGATTTTTCTCTTGGGTAAAGAAGTCCAGAGGAAGTGAAGGCCAGCATTGGTCTGATTGCTTGACAGCCCTCGGAGACTCTGGTTCTTCTCTCTGTCTGCTCTGTCCAGGTCCCTTGAAAAAGCTTTTTCAGAACTACTCCACTCAGCAATTTCTGCTACCATCTCATTGGTCATTCTGATCGTCAAGGAAGGCTGGAAAGTTATAACTGGGCATGTTGCTATTTACAATAATTAGGGGTTCTGTTATTAAGAAAGAAGGGGAGAGTGGGTACTGGGCAGACAACGAACAGTCTCTGCCATTACCTGCTTTGAAGAATATACTATGTTTATATTATGAAAATCAGATTTTAGTGACAACAAAAACTGTTACATAGGCCATAAATTAAATAGATCTCCAAACTGCATCTACTGTGTATCTGATTAATAAAAGCAATAAATCTCTAGGGTAGAGTGTTCTGCTTCAGAATTCTCAGCAGGACTCATTGGGAACAGCTGTTAGGTTTTGTGTATTTTAAACAAGCTGAGGATTGGGCGCCTCAAAACAACAGGGGCAAAAAGACACTTCAAATTAAATCCTGTTTCCTTGTAGAAATTGGGAGAATTAAAACAACCACAGGCACAATTCAGAGGCTATTTACTGAGCTGACAGAAACAGAGTATACAACAGTAGATGATATGAACTAGGAATGAATATATTTTTTAAAAAAAAGCACTCGAGTTGTTTAGTATTTAGGATGGAACAAGATGGACAATGCAGTGCTTGAAATAGTTAAATATACACATGTTAGGGCAATGAGTCGTACTAAGTCCAGATATACAAGACCTGCCTTGGAGAGAAAGATGGGTACATTGGCTTAAAATTTAAATATCCTACCCATCCAAATAAAAAGGGGATGAGAAAATGGAGAGAATTTTGCTGTCTAAAATGCGTGGAGGCAGAAGAAAGCAGTATTCCACAGCATATACGATAGACCATGGTATACATAAATGTGTATGATGGAAGTGTTTCCGTAGGAGACCAAATAATACAAAAATGTTCTGTAGTCTCATTTGTATCCACTGTTCACATGGCACCATTTAGCACATACTTACTGAGTGACTCATATTTACAATGCACTTGAAGGAAAAATTTAATTCACAAGTTGCCACTTAGGTGAGAAAGTCTAGATTTTGGCTTATCATAGCTATGAATTTCAAATCTGGGGAAAACCTAGACTTGTATGTTTTTTCTTTTTCCTGTCATAATTACTTGTCAGCAACCAAACCCTGAGTGTCTGTCGCCTTTTTCTCAGCTGATAGAAAACAGGAAACTGCAGAGACTCCCTGTGAGAAGAGGGCCAGTTGTGCTGGCCTGGGTCCAGGCTGCACCCTCTGTGACCTCGCCGTTCAGTCTGAGTTCTCCAGTTCTCCGTGGGGCAACAGTTGCAAACTGCTCCATGTGGCTTTGGCAATAAGTTTAGGGAGCGCTAATGAAACCAGCTAATGCAACAAGATCTGTTAGCCCAGCCTTTGAGCTCAGTGAACCATCCTTTGAACCTTTTATGATACTGCAGTTCGGGCATCCTTTGGGAAGAATAGTTTACGCTCTGATCCAGTAATGGATCAGGGACCATTTTCTGCCTTACATAGCAGTGGAAGTGCCTTTGGCACTCTGGTATTAAATAACTGCTTATTTGAACATATCGTACAATGACTTGGCCTTTCCCACCTGTTATTAATTCCCATTGAAGCTACTCTGCCCAGTTTAAGTTCTCTAGTAGGGACTATGAAAGGAAATGGAAATCTCACAAATGGCACTTTCTTTGTATCTGCTCAGTGCTAAAGCATTGTCTCATACTTTAGTTTTTGTGTCTCCCCCTCTGTACCCCACCTCCCCTCTACTTTCAGGTGAAGGCCTCCCCCAGGTGTATTACTTTGGACCATGTGGGAAGTACAATGCCATGGTGCTAGAACTTCTGGGCCCCAGCTTGGAGGACTTGTTTGACCTCTGTGACCGAACTTTTACTTTAAAGACGGTGTTAATGATAGCCATCCAGTTGGTAAGTTGGTGCTGCTCCTCTGCACGAGGAGAGGCAGGTTCCCAGCCATGTCCTTGAGGGCTTTTTGATGATTCACCATCTGTGGTGACACCTAGTGAATGCCCATTCACAGGCCTGATGGCATTCTAGGAAGCTGGCTGGGGCAGAAGGGGTTAACCCAGAGACGTCACACTGCATCTGCAGTCTGCTCTATTTTAAGCATTTGTACCTTGGAGCAGTACCCTGTCCTTAACTGAAGAGGAAGCATATAATTTAGTTTAGGGACCAAGAGCATGATTGGGTGAAGTTGTACAAATACAAGTAATTTCTTTAATGTTTTATTTATAGGCTTTAAATGTGTGGCTGTAAGGTTTTGTCATTGTTTTCCTCTCCCCTCACTGTTGTATCCAAGAAAAGATTGGAATGTGACGCTCAGATTCAGAAGTTGTGTGGCCAAGAGTCTGCCTTTGTTCTCCGGCCTCCAGTCCTTACAGAGACTGACACAGCTAGAGGCAGCTCTCAGCGCCCTCCAGATTACACACCAAGACCAAGTGAAGGGGCCATTGAGGCAGTTCCTTTGAGAAGTTTGTCGGCCTCTCAGGAAGCTTGCAAATACAACTTTATTTGTTTGAAGTAGTAATGGTCTTGCCCACTGCCCAGTAAAAACTTGGAAGCGTTAGAAAATAGACCCTGACTTTTGAGTCCAAAATTGAACTGTCCAAGCTTCCTTTTTTATACTAAGTAGACAAGCTTTGTAGATAGAAATATTTAATGATATTTGAAATAATTTTATGGTTATTATTTTGGGTTATATTTACTTTGACATAAAAGCTGCAGTTCTGCCTCTGATGCTAACTGGCTGTGTGACGTCAGGCCAGTGTTAGCTTCTCTGGGCCTCACTTATTTCTACAGCAGGGAGAGCTGGGGGAGAGTCCTGTCCAACCGAGGAGAGGGAGGTGTGGGCAGGAGGTAGATGTGGCTGCGGCCCGTCTCATAGGTCATCAACATATTCCGATATCCTACCTGGGAATATGTCTTGCCTCTCAAATGCTTAACTTCTGAAGTAGCATTAAAACAACCAGTTCTGTTTATCATTTGCACATTGTGACATTATGAGTAAAATTGTGTATTATCATTTTAGTTGAACTGTACCATCCCACTTTCTTTTCCTAAGCTCGATATTTATTATGTGTGTATTTGTATCAGAAAATATTTTTAGCTTACAAATCAGTAAAGTGACTCTGGGTGGTGAAAAAGATGATTTTTTAGTTTTTATCTCAGTAAATAAGAGAAAATGTTGTGATGTATTTTTCCAATATACTTCCTCAAAGTATTACTATCATTTTTTCTTCACTCTTAGCTTTCTCGAATGGAATATGTGCACTCAAAGAATCTCATTTACCGAGATGTCAAGCCAGAGAACTTCCTGATTGGCCGGCAAGGCAATAAGAAAGAGCATGTTATACACATTATAGACTTTGGACTGGCCAAGGAATACATTGACCCTGAAACCAAAAAACATATACCTTATAGGGAGCACAAAAGTCTAACTGGAACGGCAAGATATATGTCTATCAACACGCATCTTGGCAAAGGTGTGTTCATTTTCTACTCCATAAAAGGGGCAGATCATTAAAACAACTTTTTATTCCAGTAACACTTTTATCCCCAATATGTGTTACAACTTGTGATTCTTACTGCTTCACAAGGTAAGTGATTTTTCTATTTGAGAAAGTAAGATGGTGAGTTAGTTACTTTCCTAAAGTCTCTTATTGAGACTAAAGGATTTTTAATTCTTTACACCATGTTCCTAAGTGCGTAGTTTCTCAGCATTGTGGGTACTTGAATTCGTATATTAAGGTGATATTATTTTAATGAGTTTAGTAATGGGTTTGGTCTTTATATACCTGTGACCCCATATATGACAGTTCTGAAAAGGACATCAGGCTGGTATCTGCTTTGGGGATCAGAGTCACCACCTTCCCACTCTGATTAAGACAGCCCGGCTTAACTTATTATTTAATGGTTGAAATTAGGTGAGAACATGGGGTAACCTTGCCCCTTTCCTTTAGTAAAATGTATTTGACCTAAAATCAGGGATGTGATGCATGTAAATCAAGCACATCTTTCTGATTGGTTGAAAGCAAGGCTTAAAAGTGTTGTCTCAATGGTATTGAAACCTTTCTTCTTTGAAAATGAAAACACCCTGCATGAGAGAGTGAGAGCATGTGGAGATACTGAGTCGAACACGTGTGGAGAGTTCAAAGAAGTACGGAGATAGAGCATGGCTCTGGCCTTCCCGCTTTTCTTTTATTCTTGAAAGGCCCCAATGGATTAAATTATCCTAGAATATTTTAGAACCAGAAGATGACTTTACCAATTATCTAAATTGGCCACTTTATTTTCAGATGCAGAAACTGAGACTCAAAGTAGGTAACTTGGCCGTGGTTAATTTCACATGGATTAAATTAATGGAAAAGATGGGACAATACCTAGATGTCCTGACTTGGGAACCATTGTTTTCCTATTATCCCATATTCCACAGCTGTGTTTCTTAGGATTTGAGAAGTCACCTTATTACTTACTCCGGGGGCGGGGGGTTTGTTTGTTTGTTTTAATCTCATTTTATAATTGGCTTTGCTGTGAAGAGAAGTCAGGCTTTTTTCTATGTCTAATCAATATGATAATGTGGCAAGTTTTGCCCTCTAGTGCTCAACTTCTAAATTGCAATCATTTGTCCAGTGAATTTTTTATTACCAAGGGGCCTCTTGTTACAGGAAGTGGATATAAAAATGGAGAGGGGATGAGGAGGTGTGATACGGTGTGAGAAACTGCAGGGTATGGTGTCTCTTTCTTCCCTGCTTTGTGGGGGGCCTCAACTCACCCTGTTTGTTCTTTCTATTTTGCGTTTATTCACCCTTCAGTTCTGTTCACAAACTTTTTGTCTAATGGCTTCCCCCAATTATATGTGGTATTTTATTGCAATCTTCAGGCAAGCCGTGCAGACAAAAGCTTCCAGTGGTCATGCCATTTTATTTCATTCTTTTAAAGATTCTTTTACTTGGTGTGCACCAGCTCAGTTTTATGTTATTTATATCTCTGTCAGGGCTGCCCCCTGCTTCCCACCAGCGACCACCTTTCCAGAGACCTCCTCCAAATTGCTAGCTAGAAAATTGCCTTTTCTTTTTGCATCTGCCCTGTAGGGTACGGTTCAGTCTTTTTCATGCTAATGTCCCATAATTGGAGGCAGCAGTTGAGCATGTTGTATTTTGAACTGACTAAGTGGCTTCCCTGCCCACCTGGCTCTTGGGCTTTCCTTTCCGCACAAAGCAAGCACAGTCAAGCGGAAGCTAGCCCCTCATCTTACTTCTGCAATGTCCTTTGATAAAACCCTGAAGTTGATTCTGAAAAACAAACACCTAAAATGTCTGAGATGAACCATAATTGGCAAATTAGAAATCGAGGCATGTTCTGCTTATGTTCAGTCAGACAGCCAAAGAATGTATAGGCTGTTTTCTGAGATGAAATTGCACTTTTATTAACTACTCCGCAGTTCTTTGCCATCTTTAACTTCCCAGTTAAAAGGGGGAAAAAGAAAAAGAAAAATCCAGCAACTTGTTTTAGATGATAAGTTCCCAGAATGCAGGAACTCTGTTTTATGTGCCCGTAGAAGGCACCTGAGTAATAAATTCAAAACGTTTCTGAAGATGATTATGGACATGATACAAATGGAGTGGAAGACAAGGGATTATGCATTGTTTGCCTACATGAAGCTGAATTTTAAGCGTTAATTCTTACGATGAATAAAAAGCACTAAGCATGTATGTTAGGTATTCTGCAGCTTGTGTCTTTACAGACCTAGCCAGAAGGGACTGTCGTAACAGCTTCAGCTGCTTAATCTGCTGCTCACTTCCCCTGGCAGTGACCGAAGGGTAAATGTAGCCCCTGTACTGCCAGTAACACGTCATTCCAGTTTTCTTCCTTTCAGGAGGGTCACAGCTTTGGGTGAGAGGTGGTAGCTCACCACTCAGTGATTTAGGATTTACTCTTTTCACTTGATATTTACTTGCCAGCAACAGATCTACGTAGAGGAAATACATACTGTTTCTGGTTTTGATTTAAAATACTATCCCCTGGTTTAGATAAACAAAGAATGAGTAAATAGAGCCTTTCCAGAGCAGAAGGGTTTCTGAAGGGATTACTTGGTTTTGAACCCCTTTCTGCTTTAATATCTGCAGACATAATGTGTGATCTGTTTTCCCTCTTAGAGCAAAGCCGTCGAGACGATTTGGAAGCCCTGGGCCATATGTTCATGTATTTCCTTCGAGGCAGCCTACCCTGGCAAGGACTCAAGGTATTCTTGAAAGTGCTCAGTGCAGGGCTTTGTTTCCACACTTGGCTATTAATGAAGGGGCTGCTGACTTGATGCCTGAAGAAGCACAAAGGGGCAGACTGGCTGCTGAGATGAGGAGGAGGGACTTGTTACAAGCATTTTAAATGCTCACCTGAGCTTTAGAAGCTCTGTTTGGTTCACATCTGTCTTCTTCCCCTCCTTAGTCCTTTCTTCCTTGTTTTTGGGTTTTCAGTAACCCTTTGGCTCGCTCCCCCCGAGTCTCAGCAGCACTGCTTTTCTCTCTCTGGCGGATTTCCTCCCCTACTACCATTATGGAGCAGAAGGAGTGTTCCCAGTGTGTCAGGGAATTTCTCGAACAAATTGTTCGCAGCAGCTGCTACACATTTTACTAGCAAGGCCAGCAGGGCTGGGGGTGCCTTTAAAGGGAACTGGAAAGTATTTGTTCATCCTATGTAGGCTAAAGGCCCACCTGAAATGAAACGAAAATCCAGGCTTCACATTGCTGTTCAAGTGTATTATTGAATAAATGCCTATTCAGACAGTAGCCATTCCTTGTGAAACATGTAGGATTTAAATAGCCTTCCTTAGGTAGGTGTTAGTACAGTGCCTTCATGTCAGAATTAACTACTAATTATTATAATTATAAGCATTATAATTACTCTCTGCTCAGGCTATTAGACTAGGAGGTGGTAAGCTTCTACCTGAAGTCGCATTAGGGAGGTAAAAGTGAGACTTATTTCTGAGCTCTCATTTATTTTAACATGTTAATATAGAAGGCAGTGTAATTAGTAGCCTGGAGTACTTCTACACACTCTCCCTCCAGAAGGGCAGAGTGATTCATTTTGCTGTGCTTTCTAGGACATTATCATGAAAAGTAAGGCTTCTGCCCTTTCCCTTTGGGGTGATTTCATTTCTTTCCCTTGAATTCCTCTTCTGACATTGCCTCCATGATCTTCCCCTAATCATATATAGCTTCTCATTGATATTGACAGCTTTCAAATATAGTTTCACATCCTGCTTATTCATTGTATAGCCAAACAATTCATTAGTATATAATTAATTGCTTAGATTTTTCTTGTAAACATCTCTTTTCACAGTGCATGGATCATTTTAGTGGTAGTTCTAGAGCGAAAATTTTTCCAGCTTTCTTCAGAACAGTATTCTTAAAACTGAGCACAGCATGCTAGGTAGAGGCTCATGAGAATTCCTTCAGAGCCCACTGTTGGTCCAAGGTCCAGGAGCCCTCTGTCCACAGGCCTGGGCCTACCAGACTTGAGCTGCTTTGATCTAATGACGTACACTAAACCTATCTGGTAGACAGGCCTAAATCAGAGATAGCATTTTTTTTCTCCGGAAGCACATTATAGAAAGGTATTTTTTCATTTCTTGTTCTTTTTCCTATTCAGCTTCTCCATAAACATGTAATAGAGTTGTCTGTATTCCTGCCCCCATTTGGGTTAGCAGTACTTTTAGTCTTTTCATAGAACTGATCTAAGGGGGATGGGTGGATCATAATTGAACTCCAAGGGCAAGGAAAGATTACTAAGCTTCTGCAGTTTTGAAAATACTGCTTCATAATATTTTTATTTTATTATCCTTGCCACTTATCTCAATAAATTTGGTGCTGTTTATCTAAGACTACTAAGTGTATTTGCAAGAAAATTTTCCAGAACATAGCAGATGTTTGCACGTATCTAAATACATCACCTCTACTACATTTCTTTCTTGTTAGTGTTAGAGAGTAAAAGAATTGAGAGTGACTAACAAATCCCACCAATTTGAGTTAAACAACCGTTGTGTCCCCAAACACATTGAACCTCCCATACTTAGCACCTCTTTCCAAATAACATTCTCTCTCCATCTCCGCTGTCTGCAGGCTGATACATTAAAAGAGCGATATCAGAAGATAGGTGATACCAAAAGGAATACTCCCATCGAAGCTCTCTGTGAGAACTTCCCAGGTGAGATGCTAAAAGGACACTTCAGGCAACGTGACTAAAGCTTTGAAGTAGATAGGAGCTATGACTTGGTGTCTCCAGATAAGGGTGCTATCTAGCTAATGTACATTTCCTTTTATTATTATTTAGACCAAGGTAGTTTTTAATCTCTTCATTTGGCCCATAAAGAAAACATCATTGTCAGATAGTCTACACAGATATCCCTCGCTTGGCCCAGAGGTTCTCCTGATGGGAAGCATTCACCTAGTAAGCATGGCCTTTCACCTCTTCCCTAACAGAGGAGATGGCAACCTACCTTCGATATGTCAGGCGATTAGACTTCTTTGAAAAACCTGACTATGAGTATTTACGGACCCTCTTCACAGACCTCTTTGAAAGGAAAGGCTACACCTTCGACTACGCCTACGATTGGGTCGGGAGGCCTATTGTAAGTATCTTCTTTTTACCTTGTCACTTCCTTCCTCAGACCAGCATTGCCCCATCCCATTACTTGCCAGTCTTTCTGCTTAAATCTATGGAAACATTCCTTTGACTCTAGACATAATGTACCTTTACTCGCCTTTTCAGAGTGATGCAATGGGTTGCTCTCATGAGAGTTAGGAAATAGAGGAGTAATTCCTTTACATAATTTTAGATTGTGACCTGTATGTTCTAAGATCCCAGAATTAAAGTCAGTCTTTTAGAAAAAAATTTCATTTGTGTGATTCAGAAGTAGGTGCTACATAAGCTGTGAAAGGTACATGGTTTCTTTGGGAGTGGAGCCCAACACCATAGGGAAATTTTGGATTTGCTGTCCTAGCCAGGGGTCCACAGGGCCTGAGAGCATGCTAACAGATATCACTCTAGGATGGTTTCTTATTTTCAAAGGTAAGCTACTCTCCAATGAACTGTTGAGGACCAAGCTGCCTCCCTTTTGCAGATGAGCAAACTGAGAAGACAAGAAGACTTGAAACTGCCCTTGGTAGCTGAAAACCATAATTACTACTACTCTGTTAGAATTAGAATGGTGTTGTCCTTTGCGGAGGCATCGTGTTGCACCCATTTTCCCCATTTGACTTTGTGTTTTATTTTTCCAGCCTACTCCAGTAGGGTCAGTTCATGTAGATTCTGGTGCATCTGCAGTAACTCGAGAAAGCCACACACACAGGGATCGGCCATCACAGCAGCAGCCTCTGCGAAATCAGGTATGTGCAAGTCCTTAATTCTTTCAGATACTCTTCGTCTTCATGGCTGTTATTAAAACCCCAGTTCTCCAGCTTTTCTGCTTAGGTGTATGTACTGAAATGACAGACAAAAAGCTTACCATTTCTGACTGATGTGATCTAACATTCTGGCATCCCTCAGGACATGCATAATAGCACTGAGATGTGGCCAGGTGCCTTATATGAAGCATCCACTCTAGAAAATCTGGTCCTGTCAGAGCTGGTTGCCTGAAGGGGGTACTATCTCCGAGTTAGGACTTGAGGAAGTCTGCCACAGGCCCGTAGGAGCTGCTGGATGTATAGGAACAACAGGGAGCCCACTTGAGGTCTCATTTGCAGTCCAATGTGGAGCTCTCACCAATCCTGATTGGTCCTTAATGGTTAAATAGGGTGGGTAATTTGGACTTCCAGCTGGCCTGGGCATGAACTGAAACCTCCAGCACCATGCCTTGTCCCTGTGCCCAGGTTAATTCTAGAGCTGGCCAAGATCTCAGATAGACCTGCAGTGAAGACCTAGGCTGCTCTAGACCACTCACTCCAGAGAAGGCCATGTCTTCCTTCAGTGCTCATCATTTGGGAAACGAGTGGTCTGGATGAGGGACATCTCTCAGCCTTAAGACAGAGGATGCAATCACAAAAAAAACCAAAAAAAAACAAAAACACCAAATTTAACAACGTTAAAAAAAAAAGAGCTGACTGATGAGGAAGTAAGTATGACAGAGGACTTTTATGTTTATATCACATGTATTGCTAAGAGAAAAACTGGGACCCCATTAGATAAATAAGCAAAGGATAATAAACATGTTTAAAAAATTACCTATCAAATTAGCTTGTTCTGCCTCACCCCTAACCCTACTTACTTATATCAACAGACATTTTTACAATAAGATATAAAAACACATCTCACCTGACAGATGCACATGTACGTCAGTTGAAAGTAGTACATAGAAGTGCACACACATACAGATACATGTGTACACACAGTACATATGCTGATGCTGATAGAGTAACCAGTAAGTACATACTTTTGGTCTCGTGGCAGAATATGTGGCTTGGTGGATAAGGAAACAAAGGTGTAAAGGAAAGCCATGTGTTAGAGAGTGGATAAAAGAGAGAGTAGGTGGGCAGAAAGGTGCGGCTTAGCAAACTACTGATGCTGAGTTGGTCCGTAGTTACATGCTGTAATCAAAGTAGTTGGCTAAGACTTATAATTTGACTGCTGATAATTGTTCCCCAATTGTTCTCCCCCACTTCTGCCCCCCTTTTTTAAAGGCTAATACCCAGTGCAGGTGAGCAAGGGCACAGGTAAAATGACACTCTCATACATTGCTGTTGACTTTTGCAAATTGGTACAAATTCTGTAGAAAGTAATTTGACAGTGTTGACTGTCCTCTGATAGAATAATCTTACTTCTTGAAATCAATCATAATAAAACAACACAAAATGCCTGTTCAGTTATGTGTATAAAACTGTTGCAGTGTCAATATAGCAAAGGTTTAGAAATGACCTACCTATCCAGTTATGGGAATAGTTATATATCCACCTCAAATCCTTTATTGAATAAGTTGGGTTATTATAAATAAACTGAATTATAATACATTGATTCAGTGGAATATTGTGTAGCCATTTAAAATAGTGTTTAGGAAGACTTGTAGCAACCTGAAAATGTTATACTGTGTAAAGAAATCAAAATACAAAATTATAAATGCCCCATGATTACCCCTTAGGGAAAGATAAAATGAGAAAATACCAGAAGGATAATGCTAAAATGTTAATAAGTGGTGTTGGAAAGTGGCAGAATTGTGGGTAATTTTCCCCAAAATATTCTGAAATGAGGTTTTATTACTTTATAATAAAAAATTTATTTAAATAGAAAAGGTATGGAAAGGAAAAAAATCGATAATTAGTAAGTGAAGTCACAATCAACATATATGCTCAGTCACATTTTTAGACTATCTTAGAACTGAAATACGTTTTTCTTTCAGGAAAAAAATCAGTGATTTATTTCCCTTGTCTTCACTGAATTCATAATTAATGCTGTTGTTTTGAATGGGTTTTAAAAGTATGGGGAAAAGCAGTTGGTGGTTGAAAACCTGGGTTGCCAGGGTAAAAATGAGTTCATACCTCATATCTGAGTTAAAGTGAAATGAGTTTTAGTGTACTTTTAAATGAAAGGTCATTAGACAAGTGTGTGTAGTTTTTCAGGAAAATCTCATCTTCAAGGCAGTAAGCTTCTTTTTGAAAAGTTGAATCTTGAAAGTCTTTCTTTGATTTTTTTTTTTTTTTTAGGGTTTTTAGTATCCCATGGCTGCTAAGGGATTGGAATTGTGCACATTAATGCAGATTTTACACCTCCTTCTTGCAGGATCTTGAATCCTTGCTGGGTAGAATTCCTTCTGCACCAGTTAAATGGATTTGTGGCATCCGTTCGGTCTTTACGCATTGTCTTAGTCTGTGGTCTTATTGTTTTTTTTGTTCAATCTTCAGGGTTGTTTTCTTATCCTGATTTTTTTTGTAAAGAATAGTTGCAGCCAAATATATCCCTTTACAACTCTAGGAATTGAGAGCAGTGTGATTTTTTTTAATTAATTCTTTTTAAGTTTTGAAGTCAGCAAAAGAAGAAAATAAAATCTCTCTTTCCTATGTTGAAATTAAAAGAGACCGACTTTACTTTTAAGGACAGCTAACCTTTTCTCAGCAACTTTGACTCAGTAAATCTGAGCTGAGGACATGTTGTGTGAAAGTATGTCCTGGGGATACCAAGATAAGTAAGAGAATCCTTGTCCTCGAAGAACAGACAAGCAGATAAGCCAAATAGCCAGATAGTTCTGATATGAGTAGAACAGGTCAGCAGCCTAAGTCGCAAATCATTATCATTAGGGATTGAAAGAAGGAGAAATTTCATCTAGTCTGAGCATGACAAAGAGTTTCATGAAAGAGGCTGCATTTCCTTGGAAGAGTGAGGTGGAAATGGAGGAGACGTCCCAGGCAGAAGGAATGCATGCATGAACAACAGCAAATGTTGTATCTAGTCCCATTTTGCTAGAGTATATGGTGTAAATAAAGGTATCCTAGGGCACAAGGCTAGGAAAATAGATTGGAGTCATTTGATGGATCTTCTGGAATGCTAGGCTGGAGAGTTGGTGCTTAATTTCAGTAGGGAATAGAGACTAAAGGGTTTTGAACAGGGGAGTGATATGATGAAAACTTTGCTTTAGAAGTTTTTTGGCACAGAAGGTAGTAGTAGACTGGCAGCTGGCGTGAAGGCCAATAAGAAGACAGTGTGTTCTTTTGAGAGGTAAAGGGGGCCTCTATGGGCCTTGTAGTGGTGAAAATGAAAAGGAGATAGAACTGAAAAATGATACAGGGATATAATGTACCAGAATTGGCAGCCCACGTATATGTTGGGTTGAAGGAGAAGGATGATTCAAAGCTGTTGGTGAGATTTTGAGCCTGGATAAGTAGGAGGCAGTTGATACAGAGATGGAAGAGTTGGGTTTATGAGTGATTTGTTTGGAGTTTGACTTCAGGCATCTTGAGTTTGAAATACTAGCAGTGAGTTCTAGCTGAAGATGTCTAACAGGCAGAAGATGACTCTCAAAAGAAAGCTAGAGAGATATTTGGGCATGGCAATGATATTGATGGTAATAACTGTCTGCCCATCAGCTGTGTGGTGGAGGAATGAGCATGGGGACTAACTGTTTAGTCACATGCTTAACAGGAGGAGGAGAAAGAAGAGACATTCAGAACTTGATTTTAGCATATCCTAAGACTTTCATCATAGGACATTTAACCTTTTGGGGGCCTTGCTTTTCTCAGATACAAGCCTTGTAGGGGCTGAGATTTTTCTCTGGTTTGTTCACGCTTGTATCCCTAACACCTAAAATAATGTCTGGCACATAGCAGGCACTCAGTAAATACATATGTTTGAATGAACGAATGAATGATGAACGAATACATCAAATGAGGGTATAGATGAAATCAGATATTTTATTTTTTTTTAACTTTGTTATGCCAGTTGACCTAGATGTCCCCTGAAACCATGGTCCCCAGACCCCAGCCCCAGCTACTCTGTGTCTTAAAGTATTTGGTTGTGTTCAGGAAACTTCTTAGCTTTTGCTTTAGTGCAGTTGTGCTAACTTCCCCTGTATTTTGTGCTGCCCTTCCCTTCACCTGAGATGATTCGTGTCTACTGTCTAGTTAGTGAATTCCCCTATATTTTAAATATAGATTTTTATTAACCTTTCATGAAAAATAAATTTTAAACTTTTCTTCCTACTTGTTTTCTATTCCCACAAAGAGCCTCTGTTTAGTGGCCAGAGTAGGGCTGGGTTGTCTCGTCAAGGGGAGGGGCACTTAAAAAACAAAACACAAAAAACAGTGGGCTCTTGCTGCAAAGAAAATTTAGACAGTCACGTTGGTTACTCCTTTTCCATCCTGATGAGAATCTATTTGCCATATATTCAGAGGAAATTGTGCTTTGCTGATCTAGATTGTAGGTGTATTAAAGTGAGTATTGTTTGGTGTCTAGATGCAATAATAGATCCCAAATATGTTCCCGGAGAACTGCATTCAAACTCACCTGTATTGGATCTTAAAACTATTTTAACAGCAGATGCTTAAGAATAATTTTTTTAAACATTTTTTTGCCCAGCAAGAGAACTGTAATTAAATCATGAGCTTGGATAGAATAAATATTCCTAAAAGCTGGATCCATTTAGAAAGATCCTGATTGGGTTGATCTTTTCCATCATTTCACCTTTGCTTTTTGTCCTTTCCCAATTACAAAGATGGTAAATCTTGCCTGGCTCTGATTCCTTTCTAAAGAAGTCAATGTTACCTGTCCATCAGGAAGGGGATGAAAACTTTAATAGTTCTTCCTGTTCCTACCTGGCAGAACCTCTCTAGCATTCTTTGATAAGATTCAGTCTGGAAGTAAGTCCTGCTGGTATCTGCAGATCTAATATTAGAGCACAACATAA